GTCAAAAGAGGGATTCGGTTTAACCCCTTCAAAAGGAAACAATCATAGGAAAACAGCTGAGCACGACCAAGAGACCTTCCGGGCGAGCGTGATGGTCACTCAGGACACAGTGATCATCAGTTTGTGAGCAGCTCTGTGAGATCAAGAGTGCCCTTGGCCGGGACTGAGTGAGTGAATGAGGTGGAGCACGGGCGGCTTGGTGTCCCTGAGGCTTACTTACTCTTAGACGGGAAAGCCAGGTCGAAGCGCACAGACTTGGAATGCCAGCGCCCGCCCGGGGCTGATGGACAAGCTCAGGAACCCCTGTGGACTGACTGTGCTAACAGTGCTAACCCTTCCTCCCCAGCTTGCACCCCAGAGGCCGGCCTTGTCCCAGAGAGAAGAAGAGAACAATGACCAGGTTACAGGTAAGTTGGATAGGCGTCCCCTCCCCACTCACTCCCCAGGGGTAGGAGCTGGGCAAGCACTCTGGAGGCAAGCCAGACTGAAAGTGCTAGGGGGTGTTGTTGCTGAGAAGAAAGGTTTTGGGGGGGGAATAAGAGAGGATAATGGGAACCATGCTCTCAAAACGAGCTGCGCACATGAAATTGTAAAAGAATGCGTTTTGAAATGGGAAAAGTGGACTGAAGAGATGGCTCAGCAGTTAACCTGGTCTTCCTGAGGCGAAGTTCAGTTCTCAGCGCACACCTCTGAGAGCTCACATTTGCCTGTAACTCCAACTCCAGGATGCCCCCTTCTGGTCTCCCAGGGCATCCACACACACACACACACACACACACACACACACACACGCACACCCCCCTTCTTTAGGCATACAACATACACATACGTTAAAAAATTAAGTTCATGTACATTTAAAAAAAGCAGCATCATTTCCCATGGTTTGCTGATTCTATTGTGCAGGTGAGTATGAGTTCTCCATATTGGTCTGGTTTCTGAATGTTTTTATTTTTAAATCTTGTGCAGCCAGGCGTTGGTGGCGCTTGCCTTTAATCCCAGCACTCGGGAGGCAGAGGAAGGCGGATCTCTGTGAGTTCGAGGCCAGCCTGGTCTCCAGAGCGAGTGCCAGGACAGGCTCTCACAGAGAGCTACACAGAGAAACCCTGTCTCGAAACACCCCCCCCCCAAAAAAAGTGGGGAAAGTAGGCCAGAATACAGAGAATGAGGGATACTTACTGTCTGCAGATTAACTGGGAACCCTGCCACTGTTCTTAGCAAAACAAATGCATTCACTCCTTGGAACTGATCGGAGGTTTTAATTTAAAAAATTAATTAATTTAAAAAATTTAAATTTAATTTAAAAAATTTTACATTTATTGTATTTGTATGGATGACACACTTTAAAATCCACACACACACACATGATGATGGCAGTATTGTAGCACATCCTGGCTGCTGAATGTGCGTCCTACGTGGTCCTAGATCCTTTCTGTAGTCTCATTTAATCCCTTCAGGGACATTGTGATGTAGGTTACACAGATGGGAAAACTGAGAAGCCGAGAAGTCAGTGTCCCAAGCTCATCAGGCCAGGGATGCACAGAGCCTTGGAGCATGAACAGAGGCTCTTAAGATTTGCAGAGCTCGTGCTCACACCTGTGTGATGCTGAACACAGCTGCTGTGTTCCTGGGAACAGACTAGAGCTGTTCTCTGTTCCAGAAGGTTCCCGAAGGCCTGTTAGATTGACAGGCCTACGGAGGTAATGAGTGATTCAGACCCGAGTGCCTTCTGCCAAATGCTCCAGGACACGGAAGCATCTCATGTGGAGAACTTTTGGTTTTGGAAATACTTGTGTAGACTTTACCAATAAAGAATTCTGAATCTGGGGCTGGAGAGATGGCTCAGAGGTTAAGAGCACTGACTGTTCTTCCAGAGGTCCTGAGTTCAATTCCCAGCAACCACATGGTGGCTCACAACCATCCGTTATGAGATCTGGTGCCCTCTTCGTGGAAGCAGAATGTGGTATACATAATAAATAAATAAAATCTTTAAAAAAAAAAAGAATTCTGAATCTGAAACCCATTATGTTCCACCAACACAAAACATTTTTAAATGATGCCATCACTCACAAAGTGGGTTTCAGAGCATTTTGGATTTGGGGATGAAGGTATACCTGGGCTGTGCTGCTCAGGAGGAGCCAGGCATTGCCAGCTGTGTGCAGCACAAAGCACATTACTCCCGGCATGGGTTTGTGCTCTCCGACTGGCTTCCTCTTTAACAGCAATGGTCCTAGTGGAACCGTTACACAAAAGGCACCAGTGTTCCTTGCGCCAGCGTTTTCCTCGTTTGCCCTCTGAGCACTCTGTAAACACTTGCCCAGGTCCTAGTGGCATCGAGTGTGAAACTGAGGTCGCACATGTTTGCTGTCACAGGAGGCAGTGACATTCAAGGACGTGGCCGTGGTCTTCAGTGAGGAGGAGCTGGGGCTGCTGAGCGCTGCCCAGAGGAAGCTGTACCGAGACGTGATGCTGGAGACCTTCAGGAACCTTCTGTCTGTGGGTGAGGATGTGGCCTCTGTCCCTGGGCAGTGTCCCTCCCAAGTTCACATCCGGTGTCTTCCTCAGTTGCGTTCACTGGTTTCCTGTTATGTTTATTTATTTTTTTATGTATATCGAGTATTTTATCTGGTGTTCTGTTTTGTCTTGTTTTTCCTGCATGGTGCCCTCGGAAGCCAGAAGAGGGCATCACATCCCCTGGAACTTAGTAGTAGACGGTTTGCAGCCGTCATGTGGGTGCTGCAGCCCCAGCCTGGGTCCTCTGCAAGTGCAGCCAGTGCCCTGAATCATGTCTCCAGCCCCTCCATGTCATTTTTTAAAAGAGATTTATTTATTTATGATGTACATAGTGTTCTGCAGGACAGAAGAGGGCACCAGATCTCATAACGGATGGTCGTGAGCCACCATGTGGTTGCTGGGAATTGAACTCAGGACCTCTGGAAGAGCAGTCGGTGCTCTTAACCACTGAGCCATCTCCCCAGCCCCTCCACGTCATTTTTTAAAGCTGCATTTTACACATAGCTGCTGTTCTACGAAACTTTTCTAGAACATTCTCTGTGTATATGTGAGTGTGCATGCAGGTGTGTGTCTTAGTGTATGTGTGTGCCTTAGTCAGTGTTCGGTGTTACTGTGAGGGCACACCGTGACCATGGCAACTTTTATAAAAGAAAGCATTTAATTGGGGCTGGCTACAGTTTCAGAGGTTTTAGTCCATGATCTCCTGGTGGGAAGCATGGCGGAATGCGGGCAGATATGAGCTGAGAGTTCTACATCCACACTGGAAGACAGCAAGAAGAGACAGACACTGGGCTTGGCTTGATTATTTGAAACCCCTGACCCCATCCCCAGGTCCTCTAACAAGACCACACCTACTCCAACAAGGCCTCACCTCCTAATAGTGCCATTCCCTGTAAGCCTATTGGAGCCATTTTCCTTCAAACCACCCCAGTCCACTCCTGGGCCCCCGTATCAGAATGCAAAAGTGTCTTTAGCCCAGCTTCAAAATCCCTTACCCATGCTCTGTCACAGTCTCTCAATTCTGTTTAAAAGTCCAGAGTTCAAACTCTCCTCTAGACCCAAAGTGGCAGTATCTGCAGATCAAAATGAAAAAGCAGATCGCATCCTTCCAACACACAATGGCACAGGACATACATTACATTACGTAGGGAAGGGAGCATAGTGGGGAAAGGCGGGACCAAAGCAAGCCCTGAAATCAGCTGGGCAAACTCCAGACTCTGCAGCTCCATGTCTGTTGTCAAAGCGTTCTTCAGCTCGCCAACTCCTGTCAGCTTTGTTGACTGGACACACTTCTTTCTCTTGTGCTTGTTCCACTCCCTGCTAGCAGCTCTCCTTGGCAGGTATCCCATGACTCGGGCACCTCTAATATCTTGGGGTCCCCATGCAATCCAGGCTTCACCTTCTCAGCTTCATGCAGTGGCCTCTCTGGGCCTCCATTCAGGGACATCGTGACACATGCCGGGCCTCAGCAGCTTCCCTTGGCTGTGGATGGAGATTGC